TTAATGGTGGTCTTTAGAAACTTATGTTCCATCCGTTTGAATTTTTTTTTTTGAAACCACTAAACACCTTGTCAGTTAATAGTTTTGCATGAAATGTGCCTCATGCCATCTTTTCTTATTCTTGATGACTCACTTCTTGAACTATTTTGAACTAATTACTGAGTCTTGCTCCGTGATTGAAATTTGTTGCCTTCTAGCATGACGGTTACCTTTCCAAGCACAGTGGTTCATCGAATGCTTACACATAAATGTAGTATGCACGCTACCGTAATTAAAATGGGCATCTATGGTACACACTTAACAACATATTTACTTTCATGTTAAGCGACGCTGAACTGTCGCATTAAATTCTTCATCTAAAGATAAATTTATGGAGATACCCACTATGTAGTGCTGACTCTGGGGACGTAAGTTCAGGCTCTGATACTATATTTCAGTATTGAGAACACGTCCCTAACGCCATTTAGTATGGTTCAGAACGTCCACACTCTCGAAATAGGAAAGCTACGACGATTGGAAAATGCTGACAGCAGGGAATTACTTCGGACCAGTGGATGCAAAACAAGAAGACAGGTACGGCGAATAATAGTATCATATCCCACCAATCAAGGGGCAACAAAGCACAGCAACATTCCGCCTACAGTAGTTGGACAAAGGTAGGTTATTAGCCCCGGGCAGCAGTTCTCGGAGAAGTCTCATCTCTAGCCAGGCGTTAGCTAACCCTGCACAAGTAGACAAGGACAAAACCCACCCACGAGAATCGGGGGTTGTCAGTCAGCCACCATGGACTCAAGTGTCTGCGTATCTACTCTTATCGTAGTAAAATGTTTGGGGAATTACGTACGTGCTGCAGTTGGTGGTGGGGCTCATAGGATAGGGGATGCTGACCCCGCAGCTTGCAGGGAGAGTGCGTGCCCTGCCGAGGTTGACCCCCCTGAAAAGTTGCGTCAGGCAGTTGCAGGCGGCTTGGCTGTCTGCCTTTGTCTTTGCCAACGAGTTCAGAGTCCTCGAGCCAGTACAGCAATGGGGCGCGGATGCATGGGCGTCAACTGTCGTAGATAGGAGATGCAGGGAGAGAGCAACGAAGCCACCCTTGAGCAGTAATAGCTTGGGCGTCGAGGTCTTCTGGACTAACTCTAGGCGGCGAAGCCAACGTAGGAAACTCTATTTCCTCTTCTAGGGTGAAGGGACATACCTCATATAGGCCCACATATGAAATAACCAAAATAAGAAGGTAAAAAAATAGAGCCCACTAATAACAAAGTAAATCTTCGGATTCTAAGGTGGTCCGTTGGAGTCGGCATTTGTGGAGGAATTCTGGGCCCAACTCTACTTGGGCCGAGCTCGAGTCAATTGTCAGGTCCACTATGTCTGAAAAACATAGTAATCCAAAGGATAAGCGATACAGCGAACATTCGTTATTCGCAAATTTTTATTGAATAATATAGTTGTATAATATATATAATATAAACAATAGTAATAATCATGATATTAATATACCAAAAGGGTTGGGGGAGATATTCAGCTAAGCCCAGGTTGACAAAGTCAGCGTTTGAATCACAAGGTCAAACTAAGAAATTAAGTAGATGGAATATTAATTAAAATATATAATATGGATAAATACCATTATTTTTTGTCATAAATTACTTATAAAAATTAATACTTATATTTACGGGCTGGTAGATCCGACCGCCCAATCGCTGTACTCTCTTCAGGATTCCAATCCGACGAGTACCTCAACATAGAAGCCTGAAGCTACGACAGGACCGCCGTGTCTCAGCCGTCAGTTTACACCAGAGATGAACTAAAGCCGCACCTGCTTCCCTCCACCGCTCCTTCGCTCCCTACGCCGAGCCTCCTCCTTCCTCGTGCGCGATCCTGAGATCATCCCTGGCGGTCGGGGTGGGGGTGGGGGGGGGGGGGTGTCTGAAACCCTATAGCCGATGTGGAAGAGGACGGAGAAGAAGAATGTCATGTGCCAGGGAATGAACGCAGTTGCAGGAGGAAGAAAGGGCCGACGATGACGTGGAGGATGAGGATACGGAGGTTGATGAGGATGACGAGGAGATGAAGAAGGAAAAGAGTGGAGTATTGTCAACGAAAAAGGTTCGCTCACTTGTCTGCTCATAATCTCGGGATCACATGCGGCCATCATTCTAATTTTATTTTTTATTAATAAATTATTTTTCGTTGATCCGTCTATCTAAAACGTTAGAAGTTCCCATTTTCCCAACATGAGTTTGTAATTCCGCGTAAATCGGAGTAGATGTCAGCCGTATTCCAGGATCGATAACTTCATTGACCACAAATTCAAAATGGCCGGTTGATTGTAATTCATCCACCTTTATTATTTAGGCTGTCGAAAGAAACTGCATATGCGTTATTGTTGACATATAATTATACTAACTTTCTGGTTGATCAGACCGCACAAAACTGAAAAAACGAATTTCTTGCTTGATTAGTATTCCTCCAATCATAACTGTATTAAGCTATCCATCCAGTTTTTTTATCCTTTTTCTTTTCAATGGATAACAAATTCCCTCTTTGTTTCTAAGATGTTGGGGAACTTCTTTTCTGCTTTCTGTGGTAGGGAGTGCAATCTGTGTCCTCGTGCATTCTAACTTTCACTTATTTAAGGCTCTTAGAATTTCTCTCATCTTGATGACCAGAAATGACCTGGTTAGTAATTTACAATGTCAGGTTCTCTTTGACTTCTGGTTCTCTATTTTGATGCTCATGAATCTCTTTATCCAGACACTTTCTTCTTTCTGGCTGCGGCCGCGATTTGCACAGGAAGGGGCAGATTCTCAGATCCCTCTAAAGCAAAGGGCTACATGTGTCTCCTAATTTGACCCATTTTCTTAACGCACTTGCTTATGCAAAAGCTTTCATTCATCATGTTTATCAATAGGCCCTGCACAATTTCTTTGCTTTTACATGCTTTTGTTTTTGCATGTTGGACTAGTTGGATAATGTGTCTGCTAGTTACATTTGTTAAGTCGGCATATGCAGCAAAGAGCAAATGATTTATTCTTAATATTTTTGTTTGGCATAATGCATTGCCATTTTAGAGCCAACTCCTGGTAATTTGTGGTTTCCTTAGGACTTGGAGAACCAAAATCCATACATCTTTGGTAGACTTGGTTCGTACTCATAATTTCTTATGCAGATATCGTTTGTTCAAGTTACTCGGTTCTCAAATGGAGTGACGGCCAAAGTCGAGAGTCATTCAAAAAAGTTTAGAATTAACACCATCCTTTATTGTGTGTAAATGCATGGAACAAAAACGTAGGCTTTCTTCTTTTGAGAGGAAAGGAAAATAAGGGGAGGTTACTGTTTTTTGAATTGAGAAAAGAGTAGTCTTGAGCTTTGTGCCAACAATATTATGGATAATATTAGTTTTTCTTAGGATTGAGTCTTTTTTGCCGGTTTAGTTCTATTTTTGTTTGTATTACATTATCAATGCTGAGATGATTTTTATTTTGCAGAACATATGCTTGTCGTGGGCAGTTCTGAATATCCACACGAAATTAAGGTTTGTTTCTTCTGCTTGACATCTGAGCATTTCATTTAGATTTGGCGTTTTAATATTTTTTTCTTATTTAACTTTTCTTTAGGATTGATTGAGTTAAGTCGGTTTCTAGCTTATATTTCCTAGAGGATGTAAAAAAAAGGATTATCTTGCCAAAAAATCAGTTCTTTACTGTTAGAGGAGATTCACAATTTGATGTGCCATCTGGTAGCTAGTATGTCCTTCCGCGAATACAATGAGTTGTCTTGATCGAAAAGTTCATCTCTCTTTATTTTCTACCGGCAAGTCATTGATGTGGGTCTTACTGTGATCGCTTTCTGCTAGTAAACAATAAATGTCTCTGAATTTGCCAAATCTTCTGATCCCTAACATTTTTGTCGGACCTATCCTACCACAATCTTTGGAATATCACATGGTTTAGGATTCACTCCATGATGATCTTAGGATTTGTATTAACGCAGAAAGAAGTTAAATCTGTCGTCAAGAGCAGAGGTCATCATCCTCCCAAAGGCAATCTTTTGGCCCATTCTTTCTACCATATCTCTGGTTGACTGGATATCTTTCCATATTTTTTAACCGATGCTAATATTACCATTCTGAAGATCTCAACTGCTACTTTTTCTAAGGTACCTCTATTTTACTTCTTTCAGGCAGATCGCCTTCCTTATTTCTCAAATTCCCGAATCGTTTTCATTAGAAAAGACAAGTTGAGATCTCTAGTGTCGTTATCATCATGTCTTCCATTCTGTACTATATAACTATATGTCTAAAAAATATGCCAAATAACTTGCAGGTTGTATTTCGCTACTTTGGCGATTGGAAATAGAAGAGTTAATAGCTTGATACATCCTTCAATAAGACGTGAGGTTCTTTTCCTTAATGGGCGTTTTCAAACTGTTCCACAGGTTTACCTGTCCAGATACGTCGTAAGGAAAGATGAAATAACGAAACTCATCCATCAAAACTCTTCGTCGAGATCAAGCCCATCATCTCGTCCTTTAAGATAGTCTATCTTAGGACCAACAGGCTCTTCCGGTAGCTTTGGTATTATTATGTCTCATAGCTCCTTCTCTGCAGATAACAGCAAAATAGTGTTACCCGCACATCCTTCATGTTTTTTTATATGCCAAGCAGTTATGGTTTAAATCCCTTAATCCAACTCAGTTTCTGCGCTTTATGTTATTCTTCCCAACATTTCACCATCCAAAAGAATGCTTTTTTTTTTACCAATTTTCAAGATAAATGCCCAATATATCTGCTACCACATCACTAGCATTCAGGAGATGCTTCTAGATACTAGACATACTTTTGGTGTCAATACGCAATGTCAGACTTCACATGTCCTATTATTCACGTGTTTCATTAATTACTACTGTCAACCGGCATCCATCTTCCATTTGCGGAGTCATTTTCCAAAAAAGACGGTTTAAATTTCTGGTGTTAAAAGTGTCTGTGCTTCACTTTGTCTTTATCTCTATAAATTAATCCCTAGTTGGTGAATGACTATGGTCTAGCTAAAAGAAATCTTCACTTAATGCCTTGTAGCTTCTTTGCCGCTGACTAGGGATTTATGAGAAGGGAAAGGTATTAAAAAGAAAGATTAGAAAGGCTTTAATCCAGCAGATCCTGTACATTACACAGAAGGGGGTAGTCCTACCTTTCTGTATCATAGGCCTTTTCTCAGAAGCCAGCTGCAGAACTGGCCTTAATGTTGAGATTGATGACTTGAATGTACTCTTTCATGGAAACTTTAATGGTGGTCGTTACAAAGTAATTTCCCAGCCATTTGGTTCTTTTATTGAAACCACAAAACACCTCGTTGGTGAATAGTATTGCATGAAGTGTGCCTGGTGAAGGCTTTTCTGAGTGTTTATGACTCGGTTCTTGAACCCTCTTGGAGCCAATCTTGTCACTTACTGAGCCTTGCTCCTTGATTGAAAGTTTTGGCTTTCTAGTATGGCACTTACACAGAAATCCAGTATATCTTACACATTTATGCCTGAATATCGCATTAAAATCCTCATCCCAAGATAAATTAATTAGAAGATTTTCAACCCAATTAGAGATAACAGCACTCGAGTGCAGAGTCTGGGGACACAGTTTGTAGCTCTGGTACTGTATTTCAGCATGGTTCAGAACCCGTCACCAACCCCATCTAGTATGGTTTAGAATGTCCACACTCCAGAAATAGGAAAGTTAGGACGATTGGAAAATACTAACAGGAGGGAATTGATTTGGATCAAGAGATGCAGAACAAGAAGACAGGTAACACGAATAATAGTATCATATCCCACTAATCAAGGGACACCTTAGCGCCTGCTTAATTGGGGCAACAAAGCACAGTAACATTCCGCCCACAGTAGTTGGACAAAGGTGGGTTATTAGCCCCGGGCAGCAGTTCTCGGACAAGTCTCATCTCTAGCCAGGCGTTAGCTAACCCTGCACAAGTAGACAAGGACAAAACCCACCCACGAGAATCGGGGGTTGTCAGTCAGCCACCATGGACTCACGTGTCTTGCGTATCTACTCTTATCGTAGTAAAATGGTTGGGGAATTACGTACGTGCTGCAGCTGATGGTGGGGCTTATAGGATAGGGGATTCTGACCCCGCAGCTTGCAGGGAGAGTGCGTGCCCTGCCGAGGTTGACCCCCCTGAAAAGTTGCGTCAGGCAGTTGCAGGCGGCTTGGCGTTCTGCCTTCGTCTTTGCCAACGAATTCAGAGACCTCAGGCCAGTGCAGCAAAAGGGCGGCGGAGGCGGATGTATGGGCCCCGACCTCCCTCGTAGATAGGAGACGCAGGCAGAGAGCAACGTAGCCACCCTTGAGCAGGTAATAGCTGCGTTCGCGCAGGGCGCCGCCACGAGGAGGCACACGACCACGGCAGCGAGGAGAATGCGAACCCCCTGGAAGGCCATGGCTAAACCTCGATCCCTCTACCTTAGCACGCTCTATATTCCCTCCTTTTCTCTGTCCTGACAGTGGAGCCGTTCATGGGGAACCCTGTATATAGGAGTTGAGGTGAAGATATTCGTCGACGCAGGGCAGAAGAGCATACGCTTTTGCAAGGAAGGTGATGATGGTAGTTTGGATTGAACCAGTCGTAGAGCTGCGCCTCTTTAAGAAAAAATTAATGCGACGAAATGTGTGCTCACTGACCGCTTGTGCTTCTTTCTGGTTGGCGTATCGTAGGCTCTAATTCCCCATTATTCATCTTGAGCTCCTTACTTTAAGCCGCTCCACCACCTAGTCGCATGTCTACGCTAACACAAAAGTCTCCAGAGGCCACGCAGACCTAACGCCTTGCTCTCCCGGGCGTTCACCACGGCTACTATATTCAACGGGAGGTAGTTTCATTCGATTGAAAGTCAACCGCTTTCGCATTCGACGATGCCGTACTACCCCGGCCACAACTCTTGAGTCCTATCTTTTCACCTACATCCGTCCCAAAGCGCAGCATTAGGCGTGTCCCCATCGCCTCCCAGAAGACTGCACGAAATCAACGCCTGTTTCTTTCTACGTAGCATTGACTACGTGTGATCCATTCAAACGCGTCGGAACAGGGGTGGGACCACTAAGTGAACAAGATGTTGAGACACGAATCACGAACCTCCTTTTTCTTTCTAGGTCATGCAACCGATAAAAGGAAGATTCCCAGTCATGTAATTAAAAATCCATTGAGAAATAAAAAGCCCATGCTCTTGCTCTGGTGTAGCACCGGTTCCGGCTACTCTTTATCGATGTTATTTCCGATATCCTGGACTCACCCGGTCCCATTCCGACCTCGATATGTGGAATCGTCTTGCGCCATATGTACTGAAATTTTAAACTAAGATAAACCAGAAAACATATTCTTACAACTCCGATGCCGATGAATGTAATATCACCACATGGTATCCCGTTCACGGTCGACCATCGTATTATGTGGTGTTCATCTGGTTTCTGCCTTTCGTTCCCTTTGAAAAAGGCATAACGGAAGCTGTGGCTCTAACACTTTGAGTGGCGCCCTTTACCTTAGGGAACCAGGTTCTCGGCAGAATCTCTTCGCCCTGTGACATTTTGTCTTCGGCCACCAGGTTCCTCGTCCTTGTTCAACAACACTTGATGTAACACAAACACATCCACGGAGCAAATTGCTCAAGCGTCTTAGCTTCTTTGCTCTCGCACCCAACTGGCATATTTTAATATTACATTTAAGTCTTAAACCATTAAAGCAGATCATATTTTCATGGAGAAAATTGATGATATTTCCATTCAATTAGCTCTTACTTCCCATCTAAATAGATTATTTCGTCTTATTGTTGTCAATGATCCCTGGGGATTCCGTGCAGTATATTACGGCAAAGAAGATACGTTTCTGCTATTTAGATCACTTAATTCGTTCCTTTTAGGGTACTATATGGAGATGAAAAAATGAGCGAGAGAGACAGGCAGAGATGGCTCTCTGACCAACCAGCCCTCTCCTTCCTTGAATCGTGAGGAGGGGAACCGAGTCTCGTCAAGTCATCCAGAAAATAAAGAGTGCAGCTAATTTAGTTAACACATGGCCCTTGCCAACGGCCATTTCCCTTCTTTTATGTGCACTCAAGCGTGACTCTAAGTAGGGGTTAGCGAAGGATCAAGTCAGCAGGAGGCTGGAGTGTGTCGAAATCTTGATTTAGGGTTCATGTCCTCTGTCTTCTTCCTCATTTTCTCGCTTTTCATTCGACGAAGCCCTAATTGCCAGAGGGAAGTCGTCCCCTGCAGCCATTGTTTATATCTCCCGCAAAATAATTTCATTAAAGATTTCTTCTTAATGAAGGAAGAATTATCCACCAAGATCTCTGATTTCAGCCCTATCGTTTGTGGGTATCAGCAAGAGGGTGGCCATCCTTTTACTTGCCTAATCGGGTGGTTTTAGAACCCAAGACAAGGAATAATTCCAATTTCGAATGTCTCTGATTTTACTATTTTAGGATAAATACTAGGAGGGTTTTTCAGTTGGAAGATCTCTTACAACGTCATCGCTTCTTGCTACAGTATCTCCTTCCCATGTCTCTCCCTTCCCTCCCCCCTCTCTCAGTTCATCTCTCTTCCTCGCTCTGTATCTCTCCCTCTCCCACGTCGGTCGGCATGGCGTGTGAGTGGTCCGGTAATCTATGCACGCGGAAACTACACGGAACAAGCCGACGGTTGTGGGTGGTCACTTGATGTGACGTCATTATATTTGGTAGTAGAGCGCAAGGAGAAGAAAGCCGCTGAGGCCCGAAAGATGGATAACAGCATTCTTAACCAGAACAAAGGGGCTCCTCATAGCCAATAACATCAAAAAAATCAAAGGGAAAACCTTATTCAAACTGGTCGTACAGGATATTCTCATCCTTACCATCACCAGTAGCCAAGTGATAGAGGCAAACTCGGTGCAGGTGAGCTGCCGCGAGGCTTCCCACTGCATAGGAGATGGCCAAACCGACGACGGGTATCCATCAGCCGGAAACAGTATTGTTCATGGCCTTGTGAAAGGAGAGCGAGAGACATACTCGGTGCCTGGTGCTGATGGGGGTGGAGCACACTGACGCCGCACCTGTCAGGGAGAAAGGACGACAGGAGGGGGTCGAGCACGGTGATTTTTCTGGTATTTTCAGCGTGTTTGCAGGTGCCTTGGCTCTTGACACCCTTTTGGCCTGATAATTGATAGTCCTCACATCGTTACGGCAGCCTGGCCCCTCTCGCGGATGTAGTTGACTCGCGGGTCGAACAATGAGGTCACCTTTGAGCACGGCACAATAACGATCATGCATATAGACAGCTACGAGTAGGCATTAATAGCCATAGCCGAGACGAGCATGAGAACCCCATGGATGGCCATGCCTTAACTTCTCTTTCTGTGTCTTGCAACGATCTACAATGTAACCTTTCCGATCTCTATTGAATCGGTTAAAAAGCGAAACATAGGATGAGCAACCATCCCCAGCTCAAAGCCTCTCCTCAGTTCAAGATTCTACTCATGTCCATAGTTCGACAAATATGCTATTTCTGGCTTCAAATCACGGCCGATTTGGTTTTTTCCGCTATGTCTTTAAACACATGGCTGAGGGAGACATCATTCACAATGCCAACAGCTGTCTTCGTCAAAAGCCTCACTCCTGCGGCCGGTATATAACCCGAAATTCTACAACACACTGACGAAATTGAGAAATATTCAAGAGAAGAGCTACCGCCCATGTCATCCTGGGTATGAGAGAAACCTAGAGAGCCGCGGAGAACCTGTCAACATGGCATGACACCGAAATTTAGGTTACATGTGAGGAGACTAGACGAGATCAAATAGACAGTATATAAGACAACAAGATAATGAGATTGAGACCTTGAAAGAAAACCAAGATCGGGATCAAGAGTCATAACAAATGATATATAATCTATATATCAAGAAAATAAATCTGCAAGATGAAAACCCATCCACATTGCTCTCTAGAGGGATAAAAGCCTCCTAGGCCATGATCAACATGGAACAGAAAATATTATCTTAAAGTGTATTTAATTGAAATCGACTTCAGGATTTAACGAATTGAGTTGTACTCAGAATGGGTAGTATACGCCTCTAAACAGTAGAAATATTTGTGGATTCTAGATGATTCATAGCTATTTTCTCCTTCCAATCAATCTTCTATTCATTCCGTCCGCGTCAGATGATATTTTCGGCAAAGCCCATGTTGACATGGTCAAATTCTAAGAAGTCAACCTTTAGGTTTGGCCTATCTTATGTAAGAGAGGCAGAACTCTAGAACTTTGCACCTCCTCTCCATCATAACTAGAGAGGGAAAAAAAACGAAAAAAATTAAAATATTAAATTAATTTAAATATGTAACATCCGTAAAAATTCGTAATCTAATGGTAATTAATTTATTAAATATATTAAAATATCTTATATATATGTACTTCGACCATGTTTAAGAGTGTTGTAGTCCAGGCTGTCTGGTCGAGCTGACCGCCCAATCCAACGACTACCCCTCGAAGAAATGTGAAGCTACGCTGAGAACCACCGAAATCTCGGCCGTCCGTTTACATATAGATGAAATAAAACCGCACCTGCTTCCCTCCACCGCCTCTTCGCTTCCTACGCATAGCCTTCCCTCAGTCGGAGCGGAAGCAAGAGGAAGATGGTGTCTCCCTCCGGTGTGGTGGTAACGAAATCCGACAGTGTGGTGGTCAAGCCGCCGACTGATAAGCGCCTGTACAGGATGCTCCATCTCGCGAATGGACTCTGCACTGTCCTCGTGCACGATCCTGAGATCTTCCCTGGCGGCCGTAGGGAAGCGCCTCAAACCCTATCGGAGATGGAAGAGGATGATGAAGAAGAATATGATGAGACAGGGGATGAACGTAGTTGCAGTGAGGAAGAAGGGGATGACGAGGAAATGGAGGGTGATGATACGGACGTCGATGTGGATGGCGAGGAGATGAAGAAGAAAAAGAAGAGTGGAGTATTTCCTACAAAAAAGGTTAGCTCACTTGCCCGTTCTCATGATCTCGGGATTACATGCAGCCATCATTCTAATTCGATTTTTTTTATAAATAAATTACTTTGTCATTGAGTCGTCTCTATCTAAAACTGTAGGAGCTTCTGTTTACCAACGTTAGCTTGTAATTCCACGTAATTCGGAACTCAAAATGACCGGTTGATGGTAATTCATGCTGCTTCAGAATTCAAAGTTGTCGAAAGAAACTGCCCGTTGATTTATCTAGTGTTTGTCCTTATCCGCCAGTCTTCTAAGGTCATAGTTTTTGGGCACTTGATAGTTGTAGAAAAGCTAGCCGGGCCAAATAGAGCAAGGAGTAACATATGTATTGCACCCTCTTCGATGTGTCAGTTAATCTAAACCTTCCCTGTGTGGTTCTAACAGGCATTACTTGCGATTTAGCTCCAGCACCCATGAAGGAAAACATTGGAAGTTTGATTCATCAGTCATGTTTGACAGCTCATGGAAAACCTTGAGAAGTTCTATGCCCCTTTTTTCCGGTTAGACTGCTTTAGTGGATGAATAAAATGATCGAATCTGTGGTGGAATAGTTGACTGTTATTTCTAGGTGTTGCAGTTGTCATCCAGAACCAGATAAATGTAGAAAATTTGATTCTAACCATTGACTATATTCGACAACATACTATCTAATGAGAGTTTTCAAACGTGTTGTTGGTTAGTGCTTAGATTTTTCGACGTTTGGATTCCATGATTTGAAATAATCTACACTCTTGACCATATAAATGTCACTTCTTTATCGCATAATACTAACTTTCGTGTTGACCATGGCACACAAAATTTAAGAGCGAGTTTCTTACTCCATTAGTATTTCTCCAATCGTAACTCTATTCATTTATTTATCCAAGTTTTCTCTTCCTTTTCTTTTTCATGACAGAACAAATTCTTCTTTATTTCTAAAATGATAGAGGACTTCTTTTCTGCTTTCTGTGGTAGGGAGTGTAATCTATGTTTCGTCCATTCTACCTTTCACGTATTTAATCCTCTGCGAATTCTTCCCATCTTGATGACCATTAATGACAGTTTTCCGTGTCAGGTTGTCTGTGACATTTGGTACTCTTTTGTCATGCTTATGGATATCTTTATTAAAACACTTTCTTCTCTCAGGCTGCAGCTGCAATGTGCGTAGGAATGGGCAGCTTCTCAGATCCACATAAAGCACAGGGCCTTGCACACTTTCTTGGTCTGCCAACCTTTCCTATGCACATTTAGCGCTTCATTTGTATGCTAATTTGATTCGTTCCTTAATGCACATGATCATGAGAAAACTTTCATTTATCATGTTTATGCCTGAGCTTTGCACAATTTCTTGGCTTTTACTTCCTTTTTTTTTTTTGCGTGTTGAACTAGTTTAATAATGTGCCTTTTTATTGCATTTTTTAAGTACTATATGCAACCAAGAGCAAAACATTTACTCTCGTTTTTTTTATGTTTGTCATGATGCATTAGCATTATAGAGCCAACTCCTGCTAAATTGTGGTTTCGTTAGGACTTGGAGAACCCAAGTCCATACGTCTTTGGTGGACTTGGTTATGCTCATAATTTTTAATGCGGGTATCATTTGGCCGAATGTTATCCAATGAAGTCCAGAATTAACAATTAGTGCCATCCTTTCTTGTGTGCAGATGCACCCTCACAAATGTTGGCGGTCTCCTCTTGAGAGGAATGTAACATAAGCAGGGATCACTGTTTTTTGAATTGAGAGTAGAGTAGTCTTGTGTTTGTGCCAAGAACATTTATTGATAATGATAGTTCTTTTTAAGATTGCGTCTTCTTCAACGGTTTTGTTCTGTTTTATTGTATTGCATTATCAATGCTGAGATAATCTGTATTTTGCAGAACATATGCTTTTCATGGGCAGTTCTGAATATCCAGACGAAAATGAGGTTTGTTTCTTCTGTTTGACATCTGAGCATTTCATTTAGACGTGGCGTTTTAAGATGGTTACTCATTTCAGTTTTATTTGTTATTGATTGAATTACGTTAGTTTCTAGTTTACATTTCGTCGAGGATGTTGAAAAAATGGATTTTTTTTGCCAAAATCAGTTTTGATAGTTTTACAAAAGGAGATTTAAAGTTGAGATGTTCAACCTAGCAGCTAGTATGTCCTTCTGAGAATACGTTAAATTTGTCTCTCTTTCTTGTCTGTCGGTATGTCTTTGCTTTGGGCCCTACAACGACTATGCTGTGATAGTAAACAATAAATGTTTCTGAATTGCCAAATCTTCTGGTCCCTATTTCTCGGACCTGGCCTGCCGCAATGTTTGGAATAACATATAATTTAGGACTCATGCCGTGATGATGTTATGATTTGTATGAGTGTAAAAAAAAGTTAAGTCTGTCATTAAGAGCGGAGGTCATCATCCTTCCAATGGCTGTCTTTTGGCCCATTCCTTCTACCATATCTTTGGTTTACTGGATATCTTTCCGTACCTTTTAACTGATGCTAATGTTACCAGTCTAAATATCTCGGAGGCTACTTTTTCAAGGGTGCTACTATTTTAGTTCTTTCGGCCAGATCGCCCTCATTATTTCTTAAATTTCCGATTCATTTTCATTGAAAGAAAAAAGTTGAGATCTCTAGTGTTGTTATCGTCATATCTTCCACTCTGTGTTTACAGAAAAATAGTGCCACCAGCATGTCGTTGCCTTTTTTGCGTTCCATGTAGTTATGGTGTAAATCCCTTAATCCAACTCGGTTCTGCACTCTATGTTGTTCTACGTAACATTTCACCTTCCAAATGAGTGTTTTTTTACCCATTTTCAAGACGACTATCCATTAATCTGCTACCACATTACTGGGATTCCGGAGATGCTTCCAGATATCAGTAATGCTTTTGTTGTTGATATACACCTAATATCAGACTCTGGGTCTTCCGCAAATACTTGCTTAATTAATTACTACAGTCCAACTGCATCCATCTTCCATTTTCGGAGTCATTTTCTGAGAAAGACGGTTTTAATTTTCTGGTGTTAAGAATGTATGTGCTTCGCTTTGTATTTATGTCTATAAATCTATCGCTTCTTAACATCATGCGTTCTCTGTGAATGAGTACGGTCGTGCTAAAAGAAATCTGCACTTCATGCCTTCTTACTTCTTTGGTTCTGACTAGGTGGTTATTAAAACGGAGAGGTAATAAATCAAAAGATTATGAACCACTGAATCCATTACATCCTCTACTTTCCGCAAAGGGGGCAGCCCCATCACTCTGTATCATATGCTTTCTCAAAATCCAGCTGGGGAATCTCGCCTTATGTTTCCATTGATGACTTGAATGCACTCATTTCTTTGAAACTAAATGCTGCTCTTTTCAAGGTCATTTTCCATCAATTTGATTTTTTTATTGAAACTACAAAAAAAGTTGTTCGTGAATAGTTTTGTCCTTGTTTATGACCCAATTCTGCTCGTTTATGGCTCAGTTTTTGAACTATTTTTGAGCCAATTCTGCTACTTACTGAGCCTTGCTCTGTGATTGAATTTTTTTTCTTTCTAGTACGACAGTTACCTTTCCAAGCATGGTGGTTCATCGAATGCTTACACAGAACTCGAGTATACGTGCTATCACTTTGAAGTTAATCGAGAATATCTCAAGGGCGCTCTTCAAAGGTATGTACTGATATTTTTCTGGGCGACTGCAAATATGTATCCCTATTTATTCATGCCAATATCGCTTTTGAAGAAGTTCGTTAATGTTGGACATGTTATTTTCATATTCTTTTCTTGCCTTCTTTGTCTACTCACGGCGAGAATCCACGCATTGATTTCAATTTTTTTCTCCATTCATAGCACTTAGAAATTTTAATGTTTCTGGTATAGGTGGACAGTCACTGTATAAATTTTCTACGCATTGGACAGAAGTCATCCAATTGTGGGCATCTGTTAACATTTTGTATGAATTTTACACATTTTAAGTCTTCCCAGGGGTATCGAACTTTTTTGTTTCATTATCATTCTAAAAAAGTTGGTTTAGATAAAATGACAATTATGACCTGCGCAACTGTCTAGCTCTTTCCACTGATTCTGTTTTTAGGGATTTTTTCTCATTTTGCAGCAGCATTTACGAATGTAACTTTTGGGAAAATCGTTCCCACTGAACATATCATACTCAGTTAACTTATGCTGAAATAGCAATCGCTCTACTACTAAGTCATTCCCTCATCTGGCTTATTCCCTCTCCATTCTCCTAAGGTTTTACATCAGGTCGCTTCCTTTCCGGTTTTGTATAAGTATCTCAATTTGAACTTGTAATGTCTTGTGTAACTGATTTGGCTATTTTATACATGTCTACATTCATAACCCTCTCAAAATATTTCAGTTAAGAAAATTCTCTGCTCGTTTGATTTTGATCCATATGTGGAATCCAAAAATACAAGTGTTTAGTTGAGCCATGCTGTTCCTCTTTCACTCAATCTCTCGCCATCATTCTGCAGTAACAGCCTTGTGGGTGTTGGGTCAGAAGCACTATGGTAGTGTTATTGCTTAGGTTTCTGGTCCTAAACTAGTTTAAGTGCTGTTTTGTTGTCATTACATTTAAAAGCTACGATATAAGAATACCCTTATGATCTTCTTGCTGGAGATTGTGCTTAGCTTGTTCGTGTTGAGACCTTTTCTGCTGAAGAAGTTTTTCATATCACCAGTGATGAGTTCGATGAATTTTTTTCACTAAAGGTTGAAATTCGGCATCACTACCTGCATCATGCATTGAATATTTCTTATTCTGACTTTTTTAAATACCAAAAAATAGCCACTTCTTTCCAGTACAAGTTTACTGATATATGTAAACGAAGGATACATCTGTTCCATTAAAATAAAGAAATAGAAGTTGTGACTCATTCGCAGTACTTTATGAGGCTTTCCTTACACCATGAAACAGAAACTTCCCACTCTTTGCAAGGGAAGATCTTTGGTCAATGTGGATGGAAGGTACGGGACTGATCCCTGGTGAGGACCTGTCGTGTAATTAGTTGGATTGGTTGCTTATCACAAGTCTTTGTAATACATTGAAATGAGTGTTCTCATAAAGGAGATTTTGTAAAAATTGATTTGTTAAAGGTGTTAATCATGGGGTGTATTGGTGGTTTTTGATGGAGAGAGAAGCAGATAACAGAGTATTTAAGACAGTAATGAAACTACAATGGTGATACCGGAGTGCTTAAGGTGTTCATTGTTGATTGGTGCATTATACAATTTATAATGCTAGAATTCTTTTAAAAAAAAATTTGAAATGAAAGAAATTGTGCAGTCATGAAGTTTTCAAGGTCTTAATACTGTCACACTTGTTCATCTTTTTGTGCAGATTTTCACAGTTCTTTGTTTCACCCTTAGTTAAATCTGAAGCTATGGAGCGAGAGGTGTTAGCAGTTGATTCAGGTTTGTATCTAGTAAATTATCTTTGTGCATTTTCTTACCTACTGGTTCTGGTGTAAATGACATGGAAACTATTCCATTTCTTTTTTGTCGCGTACAGAATTCAACCAGGTATTGCAAAGTGATAGTTGTCGACTTCAACAACTTCAATGCCATACTGCTGCACCAGATCACCCTTTCAATAGATTCTTTTGGGGTATGCTCACTGATCTATTCTTATTTGCCTAGTTATTCTTCTATAAATAACCTGTACTTGTTTACTTGTCAGGAAATAAGAAAAGCCTGATTGATGCCATGGAAAATGGTGTTAATCTGCGTGAGGAAATTTTGCATTTGTACAAAGAAAATTACCATGGAGGAGTGATGAAATTAGTTGTCATTGGCGGAGGTCTTGTTTTCCTCAAATCTTTGCAACAATAGCCATGTCAAATTTATTTTTTTCCATTTTTTTGTCATGTACTGTTTTCATATGAACATTGTGTGGCTGTGTTGTTTACTTGCAGAAACTCTTGACATTCTAGAGGATTGGGTTATTGAACTTTTTGGTAGCATTAAGCAAGGTAGTCAACGGGAGATAGTTGCTAAAGAAAGTATGCCTATTTGGAAAGCTGGGATGCTGTACAGGTTAGAGGCAATTAAAGATGTTCATGTCCTGGATCTTACATGGACGTTGCCATGTCTTCACAAAGAATATCTAAAGAAGCCAGAAGGCTATATATCACATCTGATGGGTCATGGTAAGCAATGTCATCACCTTGTTAGATTTCAGTTGCATGGAGTCCCATTGCAGCTTACAGTTCTATCACAGTTTTATGATAGGCACTGTACCATTTATGGTACCAGTTTTTACGTGATGTATATCTGCATCATAGATAATATCCCAAATTCTTGCAGAGCGGAAAGATGGGATAAAATTATAATGTTACGATTGTTTCAGAGAGTACCTTAACACAAAGTACACTAAAGTAGGCTTCGTCGTTTTATTGCATCAAATGTGTAAATAATCTAACACTTAGAATAAAAACTCCATCTTCTTGCAGGTCACCTTTGATGACTGCTTGCCCAATTTTTCCTCTTTTTCAGTTGTTCACCGTGACATATACGATTATTGACTGTGATCAGTGTTGTTTTTAGTATGGTTATATTTTCTACTCTTCAAGTTAGTTCTGTTTCACGAGCTTCGTTTATTTGGAGGTCAATTGACTGATCAGATAATAAATTCTCAGAGGGCAAGGGAAGCCTTCTTTCTTTTCTCAAGGCCAAGGGATGGGCAACTTCACTATCTGCTGGTGTTGGTGATGAAGGAACAAACAGATCTTCTGTTGCATACATATTTGTGACGTCTATTCATCTTACAGATTCTGGCTTAGAAAAGGTAATTGGATGTTTCAGATTTCTCTTTATGGACTTGTTTAGTCCTTCGTGTTTTTCCCGTCCTACATTCCACTTCTCTGGCGATAAAGTAAAAGGAGAGTTAAAAATAGTGATCATGGTCTCACCGATGAAGCGAGCATGATAAAATCAAATACATGACTCATGACATGCTTATTAATTATGACTTGGCAGACCATCTGCAGACTGTATCTTAGCCTCCCAGTTTTAATATGCTTGGATATTGTGGTTCTTTTAACCGCCATTACTTGTCTATTTGAGACAGCATTTTGGGTTTTTTTTTCCTTTAACTCTTGACCTTGATCTTCGGAGCATGGAATCTCATTAACGACCGTCGCCAAAATATAGTTCATTTACTATAATGTAGAATTATATGACAATTATTTTTACATGCAAGTAACATATGATTTTCGGTTTTAGAAAAATAGGAATTTTGAATAGGCAGGAAAACCTTCCTGTGGGATCTGATCATCTTTGTCGAGTTTCAAAGATGACTGAGATTTTGAGTTGGCTACGTTAGTATAGTTCTTATATTGTCCTCAGGTTCACTATATCTGGTGCTCTTGCATATTTCTTGTATTTTTTCAAGGGGCGTAAACTAAATTGAATTATACCCACTGGTTGCTAGACCAGTTTTGCGCCATGAAAATTTTCTAGTGACACTAGCATAAATCCTTTTTATAACTTTGCATTTCTTTACTCTGCCGTGGAACCATTTACAAATGAATAGTTGTGATTGTGCTTAGTTGGGACAGAAGCAACAGTTCATCTCAGCAATAGTTCATATGAATCTTAAATTTAGTACAAGCATGGTCTCTTTCTCATCTGCATTAATTAACAAACGACTTGTTGGAATCATGCTACCCTAAGAGCTATTCCTATATTTTACATTTATTTCTGTATTAAGTTTCTTTTGTCTAATGAAATGATAAGCCTCTCAAGTTTAACCATCCATGCTAACTTGGATATTCCCTTAGTCCTCAAAATCTCGTGGTATGTTCATTTGATTTTGTCTTAATTTACTTTATTTATACCACGCTTTGGCAGCTCTACTCAGTCTTAGGCATCGTTTACCAATACATAAGTTTATTGCGGTCATCTGCTCCACAAGAATGGATATTCAAGGAACTCCAAGATATTGGAAACATGGAATTCAAATTTGCGGAAGAGCAACCTCAGGATGATTATGCTGCAGAACTTTCAGGTTTTGTCCCCTTGAGACGCGTATATTCTCTTATATTCACAACAAGATATGAAATATATCTCAGAATTTCTGAAAAATATGTGCTTTTGAGTTTATTTCACTAATTTCTGTACTCAGATGGATCAAGCTGTTTCTTGGCATTAGCCAACATTTACATGTGCATGAAAGCAATCAGTCCAAAGTAATGGTAATCTTAGATAGGAGCGTTAAGAGTTTGAACCTCTGACCTATTGTTTTCGACATGATTTCAGAAGGTTGGTCTTCAGTGTTGATAATGATGCAGTTACAATGTTAAAACTTTTATGGAATGACAGTTGACCTTCAAAATTTAAGAGTATGGTCTTCAATTAGCTATATTTTGCCATAGTTAATGCCATGCTTTAGACATAAAACCTTCAGCAATCAATTTGACTTTATATCACTCAGTAGAGTCATCACATTTAGGTTGATTTTCCACACTTATTTGCAGCTATTAGTATATTTTTTTGGTGGTAATAGACAATTTCCCTGCCAATCTTACGCAGTGTACATAGTTCGTCATTCATTGGCTAATACAACTGGATCAAGAACAATTTCCTTTTAGGAGTTGGGTTAAAATAAACAATGACTAGAAGACGAAGAACAAAAGTTGGGAATATAAGGTGTCTGAAGAGTCATGATTATCAAGACACTTACAGTGGCATCATGGATGATGAGGCCATTGTCACAAGTTCATGTTGACTAGTTTCCAGTGGTGCCATAGTTGTGTAGGTGATAATCATTTGAGCTCCTACAAGAGAAAATATCAATTATATTAGATATCAAGAAAAAGTATTGTAGTATGGATTGGGATCAGATAGTAGAAGGCAATAATTGTTGATATGAGAATCACGAGGATTACCAGGAAAGAGATTGGTATGTATAAGATCATGCTTGTATGGAGTGAAGTAGTCAGAAAGAAAAAGAAAACTATCCTTCAAGAATATCCGTGTCCAGAGGCGGAGTAGATATGAATTTAGATTATAGCCTACACAGTGGATTATACCCTTTTTGTCCTTCACCGCAACTAGAAAACCACGCATAATGGAGGGAGTCAAGAGTCTGGTGCGTTCACCTTTAGGTAGAAGCTCAGAATAACTGCAACCAACTCTTTTCATCGGAAATGGTCATGGAGCTCGACGGTTAGTCGCTCAAAAAGAGAATGCCGGATCTAGTTAGTAAAGGAATTCGATTTATCTGCACCAAAAATAGTGAGGGCACCTTCCTCCTAAAATTGACTCGGAAATTGGTTGATGAAGTTCAAAGGTGGGGAATCTCCAAGTTGTTCCTATGTTTCTAATCAGTCACACCATTTTAGCCAAGGTTTTAGTAGAAAAACATTATCGCATTGTCTAAACTTTTTTTAGTAAAGCTAGAAAATAAAATGTTTGTATTTGCTGCCCAAGTCACGTTTGAGACATTTAGTATTGTAGAGTATCAAGAGTGAACTATTGGATGAAAGACAACAAAGATAAAATAGAATTTAAGCCTATACTACTTGTGTTGAATCCTGCAATGCTCTGCATACCCTAAAATAAATGTAAAACAGATGTATGATTTGTTTTCGAAGGCCACACATGCTCTCGTACATTAGAGCATATAATACAAAAGGGACAGGTGCAATGAGGCTATTATCTGAGACAGATGTGGAGAATTTTGCTAGCAAGAGGTGGTGTTGTAATTCAAAGTTCCTAAATACTATTTTTGTTTAGGAAGAGGTTTTGTTGTTCACTAACTTCTCTCTGAGGCCACTAGTCCTCTCTGTTCATTTCCAGTGGAGTCATCTGCCACTCTTGCATACCTGCCACTTCTTTTGTTTGCATGGCTCCCTTTGCTTTTGATGCTGGAATTTCATTCTTTCGTACTTCATCTGTCTCTGTCGCTTCCATCTAATAAGCTTCTCTGCTCACACACATACTGCCTCAACCTGTGGTCCTCTGCTTTTCCTTCTAGACTAGGCCATGTTCAGACTCTTCTCCAATAATGTTCTTGCTTTTAGTATGAGCCAATCGCTACAGTTTGATGCTGTACTGATCTTCCTCCCAGTACACATCTTTGTTGTAGAAGTATGAATGGGATGGACTTGGCTAGCGGCCATTGCTGATGATATTGACATCAAGACTAAACGGAGCATGGAAATCAGCAGCATAAATGGCGCGTGGGTAAGCCCAGCATTAAAACTACAGAGTGAACTCAAGTAAAATTACACGTGGTAAATTAAGACTCATTCGAAAGTATGACTAGGAACAACTGCCTAATAGGCATATATCGTTTAGGGCAAGAATATGCTAGAGCTCACAAATTACGACGTCAAGAACATCAAGATCATCACATAGAAATAAAATTGGCTACCAAATTTCTGGTGTTTACTAAAAAAAATATCTTCTGCCAATAAACCCTTCGATTGTTATCCAAATGATACGATCAATCTCATTTAGTTAAACAATATCGCATCAAGATTGGTAGACAAGGTGACAAAAATTAGAATAAGAGTTTCAGTTCTCAACGACTAGCTTCTAGGAATGTCTCTAATGAAACTACTATGCATAAGGTTTCATTTGTTATACTACACCTATAGAGAGAAACATTGATCAGTTCAAATTTTTATAACCTCTCATAGATGAGTTTAAGTGTATTCATGGCTCTATCCTTTCAGTTTCTTCTCCCTCTGTCAGTTCGACAATGAATGAATTACGACCAGAAGAAGCTTACATTAAACCTACAGAGGGGAATGGTCCTCACTATTTTCATCCGTTTCAATGAGTCTGAATCCATTTCAATGAGTATAGCTACTTTTAGGAGGGACACTAGAAAGTCCTTTGCTCTGGGTCAGTAATAAGCATGAACCTGAGCAGAAAAAATACTAAAAAAAGTAGAAGTCAACATTTTGTCAATATTGCACGGCTAAGAAGCATCGAACATCAGCTAACTCTTTCAATATGAGTGCTTCTATAATAGTTGTAGAGATTTCTCCTTTCCTGGCATCCAAATGGATTCTCAACTTACTCTTTCATTAGTTTGTATCTGCCACTACACTCAAGTATCTCTCGAACCACATTGGGGTTTCATATCAGGAGCCACTCCCTAAGTAGTAATCTAGCATTACACATGTAAGATTTTTCTACAAGAAAAATGATTACGGTTTCAACTGGATCCAGCTGGAGATGCCAATGGCTTTGATACCCAGTGGTATTCAAGGTGTGATATGTACTTACCCAAAAAGGAGACGGAGAGGGAATATTATGTAGGATTGGGGTCGAAAAGAAAAATGCCATGCGATCCTAAATAAAAATAAAGCAAAAAATGCTAAAAGTGTAAATCTGTCGTTTGCTTGTTTTTTTGCCATTCTTTTTTGGTGAGCAATTCTCTTTTCATGTACTGTGAGAAATTCCTCAGTATGATTAATCTAAAATTGCATATTCTTTGTATTCAAGCTGCAAGAAATTTTTGTATTCATTTCTTTAGTTTTTCGCTGATAACTTGCTGTAGGAAACTTTCTGAAAATTCTTTTTTCATATGGTGACCACTATGAAAGCGTATTTTGTTTTGTTTTGCAGAGAATTTGATGTTCTACTCAGAAGAACACGTCATATATGGGGAATATGCATATGAAGTCTGGGATGACAAATTGATAGAGCATATTTTGAGCTTTTTCACACCGGAAAACATGAGGATTGATCTGCTGACGAAGTCTTTTGATACTCAATCACATGGTAAGGTTCCCACCCAGTGATTATGTCGTGTGCCTGTCAAAATTTTGAAAACTTTGTTTATCAGTGGAGAGAAGTTGATATCTCAAAGTAGCAATACTAACTATAAACCAACTGATCTTTGCTTGGTGGTTTCTTCAACTATGGGTTACCAGGAACGTTTCGAGAGATTAGGCCCTCACGTGTCGAAATGCATTTATTTTCACTTATTTTTATATTTTTTTTACAGTAAATGAATATCCATTGTTTTCATTTGAGTGACTGTATCATTCGGTTAATTCGGTCTCTATATAATTTGGTATAAGTCAGTTTTTAATTATCAAGGCATTGTATTCTTCATTATATCCATACATCCAAACATCAGTTCATTCTATTATATCCCATACTCCTTTTTAGTTTTGACGCATGCAGCAGCTTCTGAATTTTTCTTCATTTTCAGGCATTCGATGTGAACCATGGTTTGGTTCTCAGTATATAGAGGAAGACGTTGCTCCATCACTTATGGAAATATGGAGAGATCCCCCTCAAATTGATCCTGCACTTCATTTACCCCTGAAGAATGAGTTTATTCCTACTGACTTTTCTCTTCGAAGTTCTAATCTACGAAAGAGTAGCGAAAACGTTACTCATCCAGAGTGCATAATTGATCAGCCATTGATGAAGCTTTGGCACAAGCTTGATTTGACTTTTGATGTTCCTCGTGCAAATGCATATTTCTTGGTATCTGTGAAAGGAGCTTATAGCAATCTACATAATTCAGTTTTGACTGAATTATTCATAAATCTTTTGAAGGATGAGCTAAATGAGATTTTGTATCAGGTATGTTCTCTGACATGACAAATATGCGGACTGATTAAAATAAAATTCTAATATCAAATCGTATCTTCTTATTCTTCCCGTTAGTATATATGTCCGAGTTACGCATGATAATTGCATTCCTGCTTGAGCTGCTGTTTTCTTTAATTCCCTTCTTTGAATGGAGCATAAATATTTCAGATCGACAGTTTTTCTGGATCAAAACAATGGTAGTTAGTGGATAGGTTTCTCTTTGTTGTTTGAGGGCATCGTTGAAATCCGCGATCTCTCGGTATATTCAACCAAAAGATCACTATCAAACACTTCAGTGTAACAGTCAGTCTTAAAATGACAAATATGGTCGAAATAGATACCTTTCAGGCCTGTACATTGCCGAGTGTAGCTTCGAAATCGTCAATAAGTTCTTTAGTAAACCACTTTCTTTGATGCTTTCAACCAGAAAGCATAGAAATTCGGTAAAGAATCTGTTTCACCATTCGACTGTCATTACTGACAATTGAGTTTTCTGATGGCATCAGAGTGCATATATGGTTCATCCAACGCGTATGACCATTTGTTGCCCAATTGCAGGCTGGCGTGGCTAAACTGGACACATCTTTAGCGATTGTTGGAGACAAGCTTGAGCTGAGGGTCTACGGTTTCAATGATAAATTATCAACTCTTCTGCTGAAGATTTTGACTCGGTCCCAATCCTTTTCCCCTAGAGAAGATCGTTTTCTGGTGCAAACATTGTCTCTTTGGATTATTTATTTATTCATTTTTGTATTACATATTTAAATTAGATGAATTTGATCTTCATGTATGTGGATTACTTCACTAAAAGCATTATCATAAGAGGTCTCTTGAAATACTAGCACAGTACCTGTGCGGGTGCTCTGAGATATTTCTTAGAATTACAGATTAGTGATTACTGGCAGAAAAGATGGCTTGCTATGCTGGCTGAGCTCCAATTAAATCTCCTTTTGTATCTTTTTCTGCATCAGCAAAGGCATTTCGTCCCACAGAGACGTGGTATCAGCGGAGCAATTAATTTTGTTGATTCCCGCGCAGAGGCTTATATGTTTTTTTAATTCGTTGTTGATAATGAAGGTCTATCAGCTCAATGCAGAATTATTAATTGGGTACTACTTGAGACTGCATTTTCAATGCACAAGGTCACAAAGAGTGCTGTTTCATTTACGTTGTTTTTGGTCTCGGGCTCCTATCAGTACACACTTTAAAGTGTTGAAGTCTTGTTGTCTGTATCTACAGAATTGGTGGTTTTCTCTCACCTATACTAATTAATCAACTCGTACCAGATGTAATTCAAGAAAATCCCGCAACATTAAGCTGAAATTTCTGAAGTCTTTCTGCTCACAATTTTCCTGGACGTTATCAATCCCGTATTGATGGAATATTTAACCCTAAAACTTACATTGCAGCTGAAAATATCTCTACATATATTTATAGCTTTATAGGAAAAATGGTATTTTGTGCTTTGCATGTTTTCGTTATTTGTGTCTGACATAGTTTGCATCCTGTGATCAGGTAATCAAAGAACAGATGGAGAGGGCCCTGAGGAACACTAATATGAAACCGTTGAATCATTCCTCATATTTGAGGATACAAATCCTACGAAAAATCTTTTGGGATGTCAATGACAAGCTGTCATGCCTTAATGGCACCTCTTTGATGGATTTGAAAGCCTTTATTCCTCATCTTCTTTCTCAGGTAATGGAATATTGCTGATGCCTTATTATATTGATATGCTAAGTATACCTTCCTGAAATGTTCAATTTCTCTATATCATAGGAATCCTTCAGCTTCTGTTTTTCTTTTTTCAAGTTTATTTTTAAGTATTTCATAAAGATTGTAATTACGGCTTATTTCATTTAACTTGCATTATTATTCTCATCGAATAATGAAATACGGCGTTTTTCATGCCTTCCAAACTATCAGCTTTACATCGAGGGCCTTTGTCATGGCAATCTATCAAAAGAGGAAGCAATCAATATCACAAATATCTTTGGCAGTACTTTTCACGTTCAACCGTTGCCAGTTGAGCAGAGGCATCAAGAGCATATTCTATGTCTACCCACTGGATCCAGCTTTATTAGAAGAGTGCCTGTGAAGAACGAGTTGGAAGTGAACTCTGTGGTCGAGGTAATCATAATAAGCCCCTTCGCCATGCCCCCTCCTCTCCCCCACACACGCACAAAAAAAATGATAAAAAAGGGAAAAATAGCAAGAAAAACAGTGCATCTTTCCTGAGCATGTGAAGATCTTATCCATTCATAATGCGGGCCATTAAAATTATGTTAAATATTGACGGATATTTCTCAAGATTCTTTTCTGGGAACTGCATCAGTAGTCTATTGTGAAGGGATTTTACTTATGTTCGACTTTTTAATTGAGTCGGATACTAGAAACGATTCAGTGATCTCTATGTCAGCTTTACATGTACGGTAACTGTGTAGATTGTCAACTCTACATGTACTGAAAATGATTTAACGGTTTCGATCGCCCATCTTTATAAAAGAGAGGCCAGACCCATATGAAAAACCTACCGGAATATCCTCTGAGATGACAGGTCATGTAATTATATCTAGCATTGCCAGATTATTTACAGTTGCTCAATGTAGGCGTGCCACAATTAATCATGTGACATAAGTATTCTCCCATTCACAATCACCGAGTGACGTATCGCCTGGTTTCCAAGTACGTCTCAATTGTTTGATTTGGTTTTCCTATTGCAGCTATATTTTCAAACTGAGCAGGATGAAGGGATGCAATCCACCAGGTTGAGAGCGATTGCAGATCTATTTTGCAACATCGCTGAAGAACCGTGCTTTAATCAGCTCAGGTCATAATATAGCCTTGCTGTGTTCTGCCCTCATTCTGTTCTGTGAGACCTGCATTTTTTTGAAATTTTCTGTGCTGCTTTTTGATCTTTTGTGATGTTTTATTATTTACCATAAACTATATAGAACAAAGGAGCAGCTCGGCTATTCAGTTGACTGTGGCACTCGAATGACCTATCGTGTTCAAGGATTTTGCTTCAGAGTTCAGTCTTCCAAGTACACCCCATCTTACCTGCATCGAAGGATCACAAACTTCATAGACAGCCTTCATGAAATTCTGGTGAGCGATGTTCTTGACGATGCTGGAATACATGTTGCCTCTTTTTCTTATTCACATCACTTTTCATGGGATTCTGCTTGAAAACTATGAAACTTACTACTTAGTGTGGTAAAATGTATGGTAATCAATGAAAACATGTTGTGATGTGAAGCACTACCCAGAGGCCGTATCATGGTCCCACTTGGTCTCATTCACCATTCAGAACGATCATGCAGTCATTTCTTCAGTGTGCGCATTGATCATCTCAGTATCCAGTCGCAGGATCCCTCACATCTTCTTCATCTTCCATGTACTCTCCTTGCTCGTCGTGCCATGCATACTTATCCTCTGTTTTCGCAGAACAATCTCGACGATGAGTCGTTTGACCACCATAGACAAAGCTTGATCGCGCAGAAGCTGGAGAAGGACCCATCTCTCGCTTATGAAACCGGTCGTTACTGGAGTCAAATTGTGGACAAGCGGTACATATATTGACCAGTTCTTGATGTCTCCCACGTTGGGTTGACTTTCTGATCCATCGGGGCGCCTCTGTCTGTGCCGCCCCAGGTATTCATTCGATGCGTCAAAGCTGGAGGCCGAGGAGCTCAAAACTGTTCAGAAGAGGGATGTCATGGATTGGTACAGCACTTATCTGAGGCCGTCGTCTCCCAAGTGCCGGCAGCTGGCCGTCCATGTCTGCGGCTGCAACGCCTCCATGGCAGAGGAAGCGAAGCTGGACCCCGAGTTCGGGAAGCTCCTCCAGGACGTGGATTCCTTCAAGACGTCCTCTCTCTTCTACCCCAGCCTCTGCTGACCGATCCCCCCACCTCCTTCTTCCTCAGTCTTCCGAGAGAAGACAACAGTAGAGAGCTCTTTTGACGTATACAGATGACGAACAGAAGCCGATTGTTCTACGGTGGCAACTCCATTTCTGTCGCCGCCGTCGCCACCGCCTCATTGTTTCCGTTTATGATTAAACTCGGTGAATTATTTGCCCCGGCGGCTGTTCCCATGACTGGGTTTATTTCCTTGTCTCTACTTCTCTGCTTGTGATGATCGCACTTTGGGCCGTACCTAGAATGCATCTAGTCTTGTCTCCCCCACCCATCTTCCTCCACCGGTCGGGCCATAAATGCCCGGGGGGTCGTCTGCACAGAACCAACAATGTAATGGGGGGGAGAACGTCAACGAATGAGATGCATCGAAGCCTGTCTCTCTCCCAGTTGAGCTCAGATTCGTCATCGACGGCGCGATGGGTCGTGCACTACCCACATGGGCTTGCCGGCGGCGTTGGAAAGCTCCGTTCTTTCAGGTTTCAACCACCGGGGAACCGAATTAGGAGAGCGGGGGACGTCACAAAGAGAGCCACAAGAGAGATGGGCGAAAGCTACGGCGCCGCTACCGGCAACGTCGTTGGGTCTCTAATGCTGCCCTTCGCCGCCGCCGGCAGAGGGCGAACATGGGAGGATCACGCGGGGCCCACCATCACATGGGTGGGTCGCGAGGTGGATCCACTGCCCATGTTCGCGGCGGAGGCGCCGGGAGGGGGGGCCGCCAAAATGCGATCTTTGAATGAGAGAGATCCTCTGAAGTTCGTTCTGACTACAGAATGCATTCTGGAGAATGAGTTTCTGAGAGGGAGGGGCCCAGCGGACCGACAGCCCCGGGCCAAGTGAGAGGAGCGGCGTCCGCCGGGCGAAGACAACATGCGGCGGACCCTATCTCCTTGTCGGTCTCGGACAGGTTCGGATCCGATACCCGCATTTGGTCCGGCCCGTCACGTCGGCGGCGGATAGCGACACGTGGGGCCAGAGGACCGCCCCATGTGGTCGAACGTGGTGGGGGCCCGCCGCCGTCATTAAAAATGACCGGGTGGGGGTCGGGGGATTAACTACCAACCGTCTGATCCGGGTCAACGTCCCGAAACGATTTTATATCCATTATTTCATTATTTTGACCCCCGGGATTCTTTAAACGCCGCCGCACTCAGTCGCATTTGATCCTGAAAATATTGGCGCCTGTCCACATCCCAAGTGAGAGACCACCCTGGGCTCACCCCCCCCCCCCAAGAAAAGCCCGAAAGCCCAATCTCTCTCTCTCTCTCTCTCTCTCTCTCTCTCGCTCTAGGAACTAACGCATGAAATGCCATAAGGTCGATATTAATTAGCCCCTTTAATGAGAGATCTTCAATCGAAAGTCCGACGTGGGGCTAATGCTTAGTTTAGTGATCAAAACCTTATCGAATTAAAAGGGGCTGCTTGGCATATTTATGATTATCCTCGACTCGGTGGTTTAGCGTTAAGGCTCATGTTTAGAGAATATTCTCTCCTGATCGTTGGTTGCATCGACCTGACCGGCCTCGCTGACTCGTACATTTCAACTAATGCAATCTCCATTGGTCCAAGACGGTGTCAACGGGCCGAGACCCAGCACGGGTCCTCTCTCTCTCTCTCCCTCTCTCAAGCGGATCATCATCAACAGGGTTTGGGGGGAAGCCTGGTTGACTGGGCTCTCTTTGGGATGGAACACCACAAGATTATAGTAAGGAGGGGAAGATCCAGAGGATTTAGAGATGATCATTGTCTCTGGTGTTCAATATTTAAGAGAGGAAGTTAGCGGGAGAACACAACCAGCTCCTGCATGGGGATATTGGTTTGATATCTGCGTAGGTTTTAGGTTAGATCTATAGCGCGGCGCGGAGTCTTCGTACTCTACTGTGGAATTTTTGTCTAGTAGGAGATTAATATGAGAAACCCATGTGATGCCGAAAGTCAGCTCTACCTCGAATTGACCTAGCTTGAGACGTACCCTTGCCCCACACGCCGTACTGTTGGAACATCAGCATTCTATAAGGAGGTTCGAGCCTCTCTCTCTCTCTCTCGCTCGCTTCTCTTATCCGTGATGAACGTGTTGTCTACGTTGGATACTCGTAAATAAGAAAAGTCTTGAAATCCGCATTCTAAACTCCCTCTGACATCAAGAAACTCCAATAAAACGTCCAATTGCTCGGAAAACAAGTGTCCAGTTGCTTAGGAATCCACACTTTTTGAACTCTCCACGGGAGGGCGTAACGTGGGTAGTTGGAACATATGCCCAGAGCGAGAGAGAGAGAGAGAGAGAGAGAGAGAGAGAGAGAAGGGCGATAGGCTATCAAGAAACAGGTTGACGAGAGGGACACTCCGGCAACCCGAGGGAATATACTAAAAGTTGCCTCAATCAGTGGCCATACGAATCCGGCGTGCCCTTGCTCGTCCTTCTCGAAACCCTAGCCAACATCATTGTAACTTGGAAAAATATTTCCGTATATTTTTATGCACGTATAACTTATAGGCGCAAGAAACTTTTATCAGCCCATTCAATGAGAGCACCTATTCTGATACAAATCTTACTCGGCGACGTATCTTACAGGCCCTAGCTTTCCAACTGTGTGAGACCCAAGGAAATGAAAGCTCGGAACTCTGCATAATCATGTGAGAGAAAGCGCGGAGCTGATGAGAGAGAAAGATAGCCTTCCGGCATATACACTACAGGGAGTTTAGAGAGAAGTGCGCTTCTTTCTAGAGGTAGCTTGGAGCTGGAGACCCCATCTCCGGCTCGATCGGCGGCGCAGCAGGAAGACCCGCCGTCGCGCTCGGGGACGTCCACATCAGCGCCCGGTGCATGCGGACAGTTGGCACATGGCCGCCGTTGCCGGTGCACCGTCCGTGGTGGCGCCACCGGTCACATCCGGCGGAGGAAAGCCCTGGCCTTGTTCTTCCCCCGCCCCTTCGAACTCTTTTATATTACTATATTTTTTTTCTATCTGCTTCCTCGCGTTGGTCCCATTCGAGGGGTTGAGACGGAGACCTCATTGGGCCCGGGGAGGCCGGTGCATGTGGGCTGCTGGGCCCACAAGAACGGTTGGTACTCTGGCCCAGAAGGACATCCCCATGTGCGCCCGGATTTGGAGAATTAGTTAATTACTACGAGCGGCCCAATGAGGGCCTAGTGGGCCCGATAGTGGGCCCCACCGCACCAGCCTCAGCCTTCCGCATCCCGGCTCCCTCTGCCCCGGGTTTATAAATACGGCGGAGGGAGCTTCCTCCCTTCCCCACCGCACTCCTCTCGCTCTCTTCTCTCTTTCTCTTTCTATCTCTCTAGCAGAAGCCTTCTGAAAGAAAGCTTTCGGCTTCGCCGGAGAGAGGAAGTCCGAAGAGATCCAGCAATGGCGGCGGCTGTTTGGTTCTCCTTGCTCTGCGTCTCCGTCTGCCTCTTCTCCCTCCCGCTTGGGAGCTCCGCCGACGGCGGCTGGCAGAACGCCCACGCTACCTTCTACGGCGGATCTGACGCGTCCGGCACAATGGGTAAGCTCTGCTTCCTCCCCGGGGGCTCTCCATACCTAGAGAGAGAGAGTTGCTGCTGTTAATGGCGAGTGTTGTGCTGAACGATGTGGGTGGTGGCTGTAGGAGGAGCTTGTGGATACGGGAACCTGCTGAGCCAGGGGTACGGGACGAACACGGCGGCACTGAGCACGGCAATGTTCAACAACGGGCTGAGCTGCGGGTCCTGCTTCGAGATCAAGTGCAGCGCCGACCCGCAGTGGTGCCTGCCGGGGACGATCATGGTGACGGCGACCAACTTCTGCCCGCCCAACCCGGCACAGCCCAACGACAACGGTGGCTGGTGCAACCCGCCCCGGGAGCACTTCGACCTCTCGCAGCCGTCGTTCCTGCAGATCGCGCAGTACCGTGCGGGCATCGTGCCGGTCTCCTACAGGAGAGTTCCCTGCGTGAAGAAGGGAGGCATCCGCTTCACCATTAATGGCCACTCCTACTTCAACCTCGTGCTCATCACCAACGTCGCCGGCGCCGGCGACGTCCGCTCCGTCGCCGTTAAGAGCGGCGCCTCCGGCTGGCAGTCCCTCTCCCGCAACTGGGGCCAGAACTGGCAGAGCAACTCCCTCCTCGACCGCAAGAGCCTCTCCTTCCAGGTGACCACCAGCGACGGCCGCACAGTCACCAGCTTCGACGTCGTCCCCGCAGGCTGGTCCTTTGGCCAGACCTTCGAGGGCAACCAGTTCTAGCCCACCTTCGTCCTCACCCAATCCACCACCGGATTTGCTTGCAGAGGTCGCTGTATTAGCACCCGCAGAACCCCCCTCCTAGTACCTCAATAAGCCCGCCATTGGGACTCATCTCCACCTCGATATATACCTGGTTGCCCGCATTCCTATAAAAGCTTATACATAGATAGAACCCTTCGGCTGGTTTGCCGCCATTTGTGTGACAATGCCGACGGCGTGGTCCGTAGAAGGCGATGGAGACGATGATGAAGAAGATGAGGAGACATCGCCGCCCCCGGCGCGGCTCGCTGTGGGAGCAGCAGATCGACCCCAGATTCTCATCGGTACTGTGCCCATGTGGACCGTTCTCCCTTCTTATATATAATATCTATACATCTCAGATGCCCGGGTCATCCCCATCTTCATGGTTCCCAGGACCACCTCTGTCCCCCCACCACCTATTCTCTCTCTCTCTCTCTCCCCCTCTCGGTCCCTCGCTATCGAATCGAGATCCGAGCAGTGTTGGGTCCAAACAGATATTATAATTAAGTTTTGGGTCGAGCCCAGCTACTGATGGGATAACCCTTACAGCCCACTTAACATTAAATGTGTGTGGAGAGAGAGAGAGAGAGAGAGAGAGAGAGAGAGAGAGAGAGAGAGAGAGAGGGCCTATGCTTTCTGAGTTATATGGTTCAAAAATCTCACATGATGTTAGAACCTATGTAGTCCGCATGACAAAGCCCCAAGCTCTGACCATGCTAGAAATAAATGTGGTGATAAAACCGGGTCTCCTCCACTCGGGTCGAATGGTTTTTGACTTGGATGTCCTAATAATTCTCAAAAGTCATGGCGTTGCTGTTTTTGGAAAACTCAAGTAAATGACATCTACCTCAAACAGCTAGAGGGTCAACCTCGTGAGCTAATTATTTCTACTCATGGAATCCACATGGTCAGCGCTCCAAGTTTTATCTTAGTGGAACATTAGAGACATGGTCAACCCTTTCAATCATGGCAATTATCTTGATTCAAGCAGTGAAGGAAATCATTTACTCTCCAACGGGGCAAAAAAAATGAATCACTCGCTACACTTGCCTTTCATGTGAGCTGGGTACCTCTGGTCTCCCCCCTTCTTCAGCCTAAACTCCTCTGACTCAAGTAACCCTCGATGATCCTCTCCCGTGACAAGTCAGTGAAATAACCCTTCCCAGTGGTCAACCCCTCCAAATAGGCGACCGCCGGAAGGAGACCTCTTGTAGTTTTCTCCTCCATCCAAGACTCTTTAATAGTCAAAATCCTCCGGGTACAGCAGGAATAAGATGCCCTAAAACGAAGGAATTCGAGGTCATAAGAGGCCACAAGATTCACCTTTCCAATCAACCAGTCTCCTTGCTCAGTCCAGTAATTTTCCACCAGCTATAATGCTCTGGAAATCTTTCGTACTCACTTGAATGATCTGAATAGGAATTAAGCGATGTTGCTCTCAGGTCATTCATATCCAATAACATATGCTTCGCTAATGTATGGTTCTTCTACTAGAACTGCTCACAGTGGGAAGACGGTTCACGCTGCCAAAAGATCCAACAGAAAGTTTAAAAATAAATAAATACTACCCAGCTAACCCTTCCAGGACCAGAAAAAAAAAAAAAAAAAAAAAACCAAGAACACGATACTGAATAAAACAGCTAATCGGAACAGGCAACTGAAAACACCACAAACTCATATCCAGTTTCCCCACTATCTACATCTACTTTCCACAAAGGAGGGGAGGGGCGAGGGATGCTCACTCTGTGAGCGTCGCACACTCCGGGACCCCGTTCCGAAGAGAAGACCACCGCCCAAACCTCGACACAAAACGCCACTAGCAACATGAACTAAGCCACAGAAGGACCACAGGAATCCGAATGGGCAAGGAGAGAGTGAGGAGGATAAGGCGAGATCTCACCGCGTATCGTTTAGAGAAGCCGGATTCTTCCTCCCCACCATCCCTACTCCCTCTCCTCTGCCTCATATTCCTCCGACGCAGAGCGTGAGGAACCCCGTGAGGAACATTTTTCAAATTAGTAATCGATGGTTGCCTAATATTTAAACACTTCAGGGAGTTTTTTAATAATTATCTATGAAGCTTAAATAGCTAAAACTTTCATGTAACGAATTGCGACTTGTGACAAGGTTTTTTTGTATGTTTTTGAAATTAGAAGAATTTAAGTGAAATATCAGAAAGTTGGAGAAGGTGTCTACGGACTAAAGGCATCTTTCTTCTCTCCTCTTCTACCCGGTCTGAAGCAGAAGGCAGTGCTCCCCTCACCCACTCTCTCTCTCTCTCTCTCTCTCTCTCTCTCTCACTCCCTCCTCCTCTCTCTCTCTCTGGAGATCGCAGCATGAGGGAGGACGGTGGCAGTTGCCATGGGGAGGGGGGGCGGTACTTCGCGGCGGAGGCGGAGGCAGCGCAGCAGCTGAAGAGGACTGTGCTGTACGATTTTCACGTGGAGTATGGCGGCAAGATGGTCACCTTCGCCGGATGGAGCATGCCGATCCAGTACAAGGACTCGATCATGGATTCCACCCTCAACTGCTGCGCCAACGGCAGCCTCTTCGACGTCTCCCACATGTGCAGGCTCATCCTCAAGGAGAGGACTCCGTCCGCTTCCTGGAGAAGCTTGTCATCGTGATGGGATCCCGCCGATGAACTCTCCGGCAGAGGATGAAACGTCCACAAAATAAACCTGTCTATTGCCTTCAGTCCTGCTACAGTGGTCTCGTGGGAGAGTACAAGAGAGAGAGAGAGAGAGAGACAGGGGGGAAAGGGTAAGGGAACAGACATAAGGCTAGTGTGAGGCAGCACAAGGGGGGATAGGGGGATATAATACTGAGACCTCTCAGATCTCACAATAGAAATTCAAAAAAGAGCATTGCACATTCAAAGAAATCACAAAGGTGAAAACACCTCTGGCTGCGGCCTAGCCACTAGTGGAGTACCAAATTTTTGTTGAAGAGAAAACTCTAAGCTGTATTACCAATCAAGAAAAATGCACAAACAGGAAGTTGAAGTTCACTACGTGTTGAAAAATTCACATAATTTATCAATATTAGTAGTATTCATAAAAAGAAACAAAATATTAAACACATGCAATTATCAAAACATCAAGTTCAAGATTCACAACATGAACACTGTTGTTGTTGTGCTCGACTCCTCTTATGCCTATCATGTAGTAGAGGGACATGCAAACACTGCTGCTGTTGCCATTGTAAGCATTATTGTTATCATTGTTGCCACCGTGCACCTATCATGCAGAATGGGAGTTCGCAGCCATTATTTCTGCTGCCACTAATGTTGTTGTCGCCACAATGAACACTACTATCATCATGCTTAGTTCCTCTTCTGCATGTCACATAGAATGGGAACTTACAACCACTGTTGATGTCATCACCACCATTGTCGTCGTGGCCATGTTCACTTCCTCCTCTACCTATTGCATAGAATGTGGACTCATAGCAATTGCCACCATTGTCATCACTGTCGCACTTGATTTCTGACTCAGCTTGTCACCCTCCTCTCTAATTGTTTTCTCTCCCATGAGCCCTATTTTTTGTCAATTGTTCTCCTTTCTCTTCCTTTAAATACCTCTCATTGTAATGGATCATATGAGGCCTACTAGTTGGGCCTATTGTAATTAGGCTTCTGTTAAGCCCATTAGTAACTTGACAATTACAAAGAATTCATTAAAAATTTAAACTCTACTTCTTCTAATTTTTCTGTATGTATATATATGTGATCTCACCTATTAGAGGAGACTTAATATTAATATTTTTTATTTCATAAAATACACATGCTGTAAAATATGTAGAATTTGATACATGTGTTACAATAAACATTTAAGCTATAGACATTACAATAAAATTTTAAATAGTTTAAAATTTTACGAAAATAAGTTTACCTTAAATGTATGCTCTTGTTTAAATATTTAAGCTGTAACTATGTGAAATATGTATGACATATCATGTAATAATGAGGTTTTATCAGTAGCCGTGCAAACATATGATATCTCATATGAATACTTCATCCATGACTTGCGTAGTAAATGGATGTAACAAAGACAATAAATATACAAACGTACTCAAGCGATCAACAATGATCACGATGACATTCCAGCCATAGTTGAGTAATCTTTTGATGACGTCCATCATAAGATTTTCCTATATCACTCCAATACTAGTATTAGCTGTAGGAGTTCAACAGGTGAGTGTGCTTCTATCTTGTTGGTTTGACAAATCACACAAGTCACCACATATTGTCTCACTTGAGCTTTCATTTCTATCCCTCAAACATTGCCTTAGATTGGGAGATATATCTACTGAAAATTAGAGTGACCTCGAATTACTGAGTTGTGAAATTTGCACAATAAGAGAGGTATGAATTTTGACATTCTAAAAACCATGATACACCCCTTGTGGAAAAGATAGATCTACTGAATTGTATAGTGCTTCTATTTCTTTGATCTGATTATGAGCTCTTTGATAATCTTCTAGATTTATGGGTTGTTTTTCTTTTCTTTTACAATTTGATCGAGTTTAATAATTATGGGTAGGACAATTCTATGGTAGGAAGTCATACATATTTCAATGACTACAACAAGTGTCTGTCGCTCTATTTTTGCTTCTAGGTTTCAAATGGATCTCAAAATCGATGGAGATGATCTTCATCAACCACTTATGGTAGTCTGGTAATACCTATTGCTGCTCTAGAAGATATTGAAAGCTATGTTGTTCCGTGTAAATGATAAACCTATATCTCAATAAGTAATGCTGTCGATTGAGCATGACTAGTACAATTGTGGTCAAATGGCACTTGTATGTAGGCTTCTTTTGATGAGTCAACACAAAAACTTAGTTGAAGGATGTCATAGGCCGCCATTGTTATGTGAGAATGGTTCTAACCCCAAGGCTAGATGCACCCACATTGAGTTCAAACGGTGTTGTGAAATCTAGAAGGATTAGCACTAGCATGGTTGTTAGTACCCTCTTGAGGTGCTGAAATACCTCTTCTACAACTAGATTCTAGTCGAATTATTACTTCTTCAATTGATGTGTTAGAGGTCATGTGATCTTGTCAAAATTCTTTACAACTCACATGTAATAGTCAAGATCTAGTGGCCAAGGTATGCTATTCTAAATTGTTCAAACAATTATTTTTCAAAGTTAATGTGAAATTGATGCTCTTGTAGGACAAAAAATACCTCTACCAAGTGCATGGCATGCACTTCTTCAATCATGTTGTATATAAGTATGTCTTTGAAGAATATTAATATGAATTTGTACATGAACTTGGAGAAAAGGCAATTCATAATCGCTTGAAAGGT